ACTATATTGATTCTTCCTACCCAGGAACAAGGGATGTCTTTCCATTTTCTTATATCCACCTCGATCTCCTTTTTCAGAGTGCTATAGTTTTCATTGTAGAGGTCTTTTGCTTCCTTTGTTAGGTTGATTCCTAGATATTTCATTTCTCTGGATGCTATTGTAAAAGGAATTGTTTCCCTAATTTCTCTCTCAGTGAGCCTGCTATTTGTGTACAAGAAGGCTATTTTTTTGTTTTGTTTTGTTTTGTTTTTTTTGGTCCCAGGGATCAAACTCAGGACCTTGTGCTTGCAAGGCAGGCGCCAGAACCACTGAGCTAAATCCCCACCCCAGGGCTATTGTTTTTTGAGTGTTGACTTTATATCCAGCTACACTATTGAATCTGTCAATTAGGTCTAGAAGTCTTTTGGCAGAGTTTTTTGGGTCTTCTATGTAAAGTATATCATCAGCAAATAATGACAGTTTAACTTCTTCCTTTCCTATCTTTATTCCTCGTATTTCTTTCTCTTGTCTAATTGCTGTGGCTAATGTTTCCATTACTGTATTGAACAGGAGTGGTGATAGTGGGCATCCTTGTCTTGTTCCTGATTTTAGCGTGAAAGTTTTCAGTTTTTGAACATTTAGTATGATGTTGGCTGTTGGTTTTTCATAGATAGCCTTAATCAGATTGAGATAACAACCTTCTATTGCAATTTTCTATAGCGCTTTTATCATGAATGGGTGTTGGATTTTGTCAAATGCCTTTTCTGCATCTATTGAGATGATCATGGTTTTTGTCCTTGACTCTGTTAATATAGTGTATTACATTGATTGATTGACGAATGTTGAACCATCCTTGCATCCCTGGGATAAATCCGACTTGGTCCGGGTGTATGAACTTCTTAATGACCCTCTGTATTCTGTTTGCCAGTATCTTGTTGAGGATTTTTGCATCTATCTTCATTAGGGAGATTGGCCTGTTGTTCTCCTTTTGGGTTGGGTCTTTCTCTGGTTTTGGAATCAAAGTAACACTTGCTTCCAGGAATGAATTTGGAAGCCTTGCTTCCCTTTCAATTTCCTTGACGATTTTAAAGAGTAATGGCGTTAGTTCTTCTTTAAATGTCTTGTAGAATTCAGCAGTGAAGCCATCAGGATTTGGGCTTTTCTTTGTTGGTAAATATTTTATTACGTTTTCAATTTCACTCATTGTAATTGGGGTGTTTAGAATTTCTATCTCTTCATTTAACTTTGGCAATTCATATGTATCTAGCAATCTGTCCATTTCTTCTGTGTTTCCCATTTTTTAAAATTTATTTGTTTATTTATTTTGAGTACCAGGGATCTAACTCAGGTCCTTACACTTGCACAGCAGGTGGCGAAACCACTGAGCTAAATCCCCAGCCTCCATTTTATTAGAGTACAGGTTCTCGAAGTAGGTATTGATGATCCTCTGGATTTCTGCTAGGTCTGTTTTGACTTCACCTTTTTCGTTCTTAATTGCATGGATTTGAGCCTTTACTTTTTTGATAAGGTTGGCTAAGGGTTTATTGATTTTATTTATTTTTTCGAAAAACCAACTCTGATTCATTAATTTTTTGTGTTGTTCTCTTAGCTTCCATTGCATTGATTTCTGCTCTGATCTTTATAATTTCCTCTCTTGTACGAGCTTTGGATTTGTTATGCTCTTCTTTTTCTAGGAGCTTGAGGTTCTATGTTAGGTTATTTAT